TCTCAAGATATCTATTAGAAATTAAGGTCTTGCGTAGAAATTCTTCTTCGTCTTTTAACGTTCCGGGGCTACAAATACGTTTAGCCCGGTAGAAGAGAGTTTGCACTAAGCCGCGTTTGTATGCGATCTGGGCGAAGCATGAAAAATGAAGGTACTGTCCACTCCTAATCGATTTGCGGTGAACAGTGCGCTGCAACGTACCTTCAGACCGTCTCCTTAAGAGTATATCCAAGAACGTCAGGCAACGGTGTTGTTCCACTTCATTGGATACCGACAGATAAGGGTGAATCGAATTCCGGTGCGTTAACTGCTCGCTACGTATTGCCTGAGACTTCTTTGAACAGGCTGAGACGCTGGAACAATTGTCATTGAGTGCAGAGCTTGTATACCCAATAGATGTGGACTCCTTATTCACAAATGTGCCTTTGCATGAGACGGTTGATAATTTATGTGATTTTATCCTGAGCCAGAATATGTCAGTGGGCCTGCCAGTGCAGTATTTAAAGAATATGATCCTATTGTGCACCGAGAACAAGCGGGTTTTTTTGAGGGGATAGCATAAAAACTGGTCAATGGGGTCGCTATGGGCAGGTCTTCGGGACCAGTTTTAGCCGACATTTTCCTCGACCTGATAGAAATGCAAGTTGCTGCCAGCATTGGAGCGAAATTGTACAGACAATATGTGGATGACGTTTTAGTCTTCACCAACGGAGAACATTTTACCCGGCTGCTGACCATGCTGAAATCGATTCACCCTAATCTGTCGGTATCTAATGAAGTGGAACAACACAGTTGCCTGGTGTTTGTGGATATACTCATAAGGAGACGGGCTGAAGGTACGTTGCAGCGCACTGTTCACCGCAAATCGATTAGGAGTGGACAGTACCTTCATTTTTCATGCTTCGCCCAGATCGCATACAAACGCGGCTTAGTGCAAACTCTCTTCTACCGGGCTAGACGTATTTGTAGCCCCGGAACGTTAAAAGACGAAGAAGAATTTCTACGCAAGACCTTAATTTCTAATAGATATCTTGAGAAGTATATTCAAGTACACAGCAGACCTCTCAGCGTGAAAACACCGGTGCTGACGGCTGAGAAAGAGGATGTTTATTTGTTCTTGCCGTTTAAGGGGGCCATGTGGCAAATGATATTGGATGCAAGCTCCGGTCCGCCGTAACGCGCACCGACATGACAGCCCAGTTGCGACTCAGGCATCCCACGTGAGGACTTGTTCTTCACAACCGTCAGAACATCTCGTCGGGTAGTTCGGTCTCTCACATTGTTTATCGGTTTATCTGCGGTTACGTGACATTTACATAAGCAGAACAAACCGTCAGTTAGCTCAGAGGGTAGCTGAACTTTCGCCAAAGTGGTTGGGCCGAGTGATTACGCAACAAAATAGGACGGAGCTGAGAATTAATCGGAGCCTGGCATCGTCTATCACCAAGCACCTCCTGGCAGTCCGTCATCACGTGAATCCTGAGACAGCGTTCAAAGTGTTATTACGTAACTGAAACCCGATAATGCTGGCATGTAGTGAGGCGTTGTTAATTAAGGCCCATCAACCTGTGCTATGTGCACAGAAACTCTTGAGGCAATCAATTCGGTTGCCATGGACTTGACTGTGACATTTTGATTGACGCTGTTTATTTTTTCCATGTATATAATCCTTTGTGTGTTTCTGCTCGTATTGTGTTTGCGACTGAAGAGAACAATCGAAATGTTGATATACCGCAACCTTTGTCTTCTCTCTGCCTTGAGGAAATGCCTGAAGGGGATCCACAGTTTTTTTCTGAATGTATTGTGTTATCGGTGTGGAAGTTCTCGTCACAAAGCAAACTGTCAAAGAGGTCCGGCTCGCACAGTGGATTGCAAAAGCAATGGTAAGCAGCTGAATTCCGCCCGATCGTAACGGTATCACCGGGTAGCCCTAGTTGATCAGCAACGGAGTGATGCTCCTGTTACATAGATTGCTGAAAATATCTTTTCGATCAAAAACTACTTCACCCGGAAACCCTACAGAATTTTCGGATGGAGCTCAAACCACCTTCTTCTGACATCCGAACAGTTACGCTGCAAAATCGCCACACAACTGTGCCAATCTCTATGGTATTAGAATATGTATCGCCCATAATCATTATCCGCTTCAGCCTTTATGACCATTATTTGTATGACATTCCACTGCATCCAATGTCGTATAAATTTGACTCATACACAAACGACCCATGTACAAATTCGCGGAAATTTGATGACAAAACTGTTTACACTCGGTTACATCCGACGTTGTTGTATATGTGGCTTCCGAAAATAGTCCTGCCCTACTGAGTCGAAATGCCAGTGTTTCTCTTATCATGACACCGTCCATCGATGGAAGGCACAGTACGCGGCTCAAACCCTCGATGTTTAAAGGTCTACGTCCTAAGCCGTTCACTGGAACAATTGGCTAGACTTCTCCTGAGAATGACAAGTCCTCGCATGTGTCCAAATCTGTGAAAAGTGGAACCGATTCCTGTTTGGTCGGAGTTTTACATTGTATGCAGAACAGCTCACTCGTAAACGGCCGAAAAGTTGACAACAGAAAATCGTACACAGTCCTACAACCGAAAACCACTGACCAGAAACGAGGGCGCAAACGACGTGACTGCCCCATCGACTCACAGTTCAGATGGATGTGCGCATTCAAGGGGAGGAATGATGCTGTGTGCGCTAACTGACAGTCCATGTTGTCTCGTGTGTACGCACGCTCAATCTCGCAGTTGATTGGAGGAAAATATGTCCATGGATCGCTAACACAGCATGCCTGTAAAGGGACGAGATTAAGTAGAATACTCTTTCAAATGCGTCGTGGCTTTATTCTGATTATTGCTCGCGAGTGTCCGTGGCACCGCTATTGTGGTCGAGTTGCGGTTAAGTCTGCGATTAATGGGATACACCATCTATTACGAAACCGCTTTGGGATTGCGGACAAATGACCTCAATCGCTTTTTGTACTGAGCAATGAAGCGATTCCACTCCGCATTCGGTTCATCCGCATTATTCGGCAGCTACAAGTTGGTCTTGGTAATAATGTTCCTTCGCAGACTGCGAATAAAATCAACGAGAAAACACGTTCGAAGAGGAAATAATTGAAACAAGAGTAAAGGTTAGGTGGATACACACGGATCCATGGACCGAGTTGAAACAAGTGCTTCAGACCAACAGAAAACCTCTTACTGATGTGTGCCAGGGGCAGTTGGAGCTGTGGTAAACTTGATGGGAATAAAGCCTGTCGTTCGGCGGCCAACTCGCATTCGATGCGAGAACTTGCGCTGAGATGTGCTGCTGATTTAGAAGTGGCGATCAACGCATAGATAAAGAGAGCAGGTGTTACCACCAACACAACAAGTATCGATCCAGAAACGGTCTCTGAGGAAATGTCCTGACTCTGATAAGCAACCGACTTTGATAATCATGTCATTCGTCAACGGCCATTGGAAAAAAAGACTAGAGCTGCCAATATAACCAGCAATTGACTAATTCTTGGCTACAACTAGCATGGCGTAAGCTGAAGCAAAATCAAGGACCTTTTACATCGGCTGTTGCTTGATGTTCTCGTATCTCGTCTCCTAATAGGGATGCTTGTTTAAAGTGTGTATGGTGCTGTTATCTGCGGGGTAATGGGCGCTTATGGAGCGTCGACCGGTAGCCGTAAGGATCATAAGCCTGCCTTGTAATCCAAAGGTGCGGGTTCGGATCTGCGTAGAGACGGGGCGACCCTCACAGTGTCCTTAGCCCACTGCGACTGTTGACGGTTGCGCGGCAGCGAAGCGTCGGTACTGCGTGCCGGCGTACTGCTGATGCTTTTGAGTATAAAGTAGGGTAGTGAAAGCTGAAAGGAAGCTGTCTCGCTAATGCCGCCAAACCTTTGCACGATCGCCAGCTGTTTGTGACGGAATGTGGTTGATACACCACGTAGGCGCATTGACTCTGAATATTGGTTTAGAGCAATAAGGTTTTACGCGAAGTCCTCCTCCTCAACCTTTTATTATTCCTCGTTCGGTAGGTCAACATGGTTGTACAGCAGTGAAGCATCGGTTCAGATGGCTGAGGTACTGCTGTTAGTGATGATATCGCTTTCGAAGTTGAGTAGAACATATGCGGCCGTTTACCGGAATCCAGGGTAGTAAAATGATGAGAGCTATTCCGACAATGAAAATACGAGGAAACGTGGAAGAGACATCGTTGGAGACTCCAAGTGGGCAGACCTGATAGTTGTGACCGGAGTCCCGTAAGCGTGGCTTCCTCGAACATGCAAATCACTCAAGTAAGCATCCACGTTTACCGGTACTGCAACTGATTTGAGGAAACCTCGAGGTGCCTTAAAAACGATGTGGTACAGACATCAAAAACTCGGGTTGGTGTACACATTATTCACTGATGAATGTGCTGGTCGGCCTCATGTGTAACCAGAAACCTTAGCCGCCGGCACAGCCTTATCATGCGCAGTTATCGGTGTGTAACTAAGGTCAACTTAAAAAAGCTTTACGGACATTTTACGAAAATCGCGCTTAAATGTAACAGAAGCCTTGATTAGTTATAGAAGAACAAACTGGATTCCGCTTGCAGCAGAGATGGCGTGGATAACCAAGAAAGGAATATCACTAACTGTTTAGAGGTAGTATGTAACTTGTGAATGTAAATACACCTATAGTACATACAAATGTGTTGACAAAAGCGCGTGCGTCAGTTACGTTAACCAGTTATAGGCGGAGCAGCAGATATGGGCAGAGTAGTGGGAAATATAAGGAAATGCGTTAGAGCAATCAGAGAGTGGAGTGTTTAGTCGGAAGCTATTTCAGACTCTACGCGGACTTTCGTGTCGGTAAAGCTACCATCGAAAAGCAGCTGAGGGAAATTTCCGCGTTCATACACATAAGCATAACTTGACGACCCTGACTCTGGATAGTCTCAGTAAACCGTTGCAGCAAAATGGGAAAGGGAAATGTATACGTGCAACTTACCTTCCTTCGGGCGCGTGGCTGAAGTGCTCACGAAGAACGGGAGCTATATGGGAACCATGAGATTCCAATGCACTGACAAAACACTCGAAGGCGCCTGCAGACCGGGGTCGAAGCAATTCAAGGAGTTTGGAAGAAGCAGCTTTCAGCTGATCCTTGGAACATAAACGACGTATATGGTCGTACTCGGTATCAGATATCCAATTTTCACTAAGCAGGTTATCCAACACATCCATCGGATCAAGGTCTCTAGTAAGTAGGGGGGCACACACGCGCAAAGCATAGTTCTCCTTAGATTCCATCTCGACGGTTATCAGTTTGCACCTTATTCATACAATCTTTGAACAGATTTAAAACATCTTGACATTTACGCCAATCCTTGTTTTCGAACATACATTCCATAACGTCATAATGTTCATCCAGGCACCCGGATTTTTTAATCATGGCAACCACAGGATCATCCTCAGATTCCGAGGAGCGCACGGACGGAGAACCAACGCCGAAAGAGTGACCAGCCGCCATCAAATCCGCGCTCTTATATTCAAGGTCTGGTTATCACGAAAGCCTTGGATCATTAAAAATGCTAAAGCTCGAACGATAACTGGTGATATAAAACGGAATGTTTTAATATTTCTTTTTAATACACGCATACGTTACTGGCTTTAAGTACACGTAAATATTAGGAGGAATGGCACCAGACAAATTTAAACCCTGCCCAGTAATTACAGAGAAGATCGTGTGATTTCAGAATGGTGACGCTACCCGATTGGTTGCATGGAAGTGCTTAGAATTATCTGGAAAGTGTGACTTACTAGTCCCATTATCCTGACAAACTGTTTTAGCTGGTAGCAACCATTAATATTCAATGGAATTGATTTTATAGAAAAATACGAGAGCCCCGAAGCTATATGCGAAAGCCAAGGAGTTGCTATCCAGAGGGCAAAGATTAGGCACCTCCATTGCTCCTGCACGGAAAAAAAACAAATATGTCGCCATTTCTCTCTGAGCTGTGTTCCTACCCAGTACAATGAACCGTTTTCACCAGGAAATACCCACGATCACGCGCGCTTGGAACTCCGAAGTCCGTCGTTGCGAAATAGTGGGCGTTAAACAAAACGCGTCCCTAGCAAGTGAGACGTTTTCGGACCAATCAGTTCTGACACTCCCTAAGCGCGACCTAGTATGCGCTGATAAGAGTTAACCCATCAAATTGTACCGCTACCGTGAACCACAGTATGGAACCCTATGCAGGCTTCCAACCTTGGAAACACATCACCTATTACGGTATCGTAATTATCAGATACTAACCACACATTCCCCATAATGTAGTTGCGGTGCAACGAAATTGGGAAAGCACATGCTAGTGACACAGCTCCTAACCACTAACTGACGTCCTGTGTGTCCGCACTGCAATTACTGCCCGTTGCGTTGCCTTAAGCGAGCAGCAGAGGACACAAGCTGAAGCAAGGACGTTATATTTATAAAGTGTATGTAGTTTACAACGTTAGTGATTCAGATCCACGATTTCGGCGGTGGTGTTAGTATCAACCTGCAATGTAATCCTGAAGCTTCATATGTCGTAGGCTATTTACATGCTTGTACTGCATTTTGTAGCTAGCATGGATGGGTTTTGCGACGTTGTGCTGATAGGCGGTTTTGTCTTGTCTTAGCAGTTAAGTGCAGTGGTTAGGTTGGACTGCGTAGTTGTTCCAACTTTCTGGGGTTTGAGCTGCTCTATACACTTGCCATTATGCTTTGCGTTCTGTCATCCATCCTCGAGTTCTGCCCCTAACGAATTGATCTAATGTACACCCATTACAAACTTTTTTCAAAAATCTCTGAAATCAGCTGACAACCTTCGTTGACGAACTCGGGCCAGGCAATTTCCGAAGTTTTTCCGCCAAGGAACGATCGAGTTATGTTGCTAACGGGATGGTTCGCACAAACTCCTGGTTCTCAACCGGATATTCCGCATAGCAGACGAGGTTGCAAATGATCATTGCGAGATCACTGCGACCCAACGGGCAGTCTAAACCCAACACATCAATCATATGCTCCTCGTTGGTAGGGAAAGAACTAGCACAGATGACATGTTACCTGTTCTGCACCGAGTGGGCTAAGTTATACACTCGTACAGAGGAGCAGTGGATACGAGACCTTGTAGATCAGCTTTGAACTGTTCTCCGATCATATCAGGAATTTCTGTACATCATGCATTGAACGCACCCATAATAAGTATGTGCGTGTAAATTCGCTGTAACTTGCATCGTAAAGCAGCCGCAATTTGGCAGTGGTTGTTGGATCTAGAGTTATGTGGGCGGTATTCAAAAACAATAAGGCAGGTGTCCCTATCTTTTAACTGCATGCAGCAACTCAGAGAGTCGGGGCACTGTGAAGCTGAATCGTCAACGGTTTCGAACTCTAAAATGCTTCGGCTCATTAGGACTACCTCTCCTCCTTTTATGACACTGTCCTTCCGGAGCAGTGACATGCCCGGTAACCAAACTTCAGCGTCCGTAATTAATGTGTGCAAACAAGTCACGGTGATACCACTGACATCATATGACCCGGCATATTTGCGATCTTTCAGTCTGGCCAGTTTGGGAAAAGGACCCTGAGCATTCGTGTATAAGCAGGCCAAGCTGTTGAGCCTTAGGAGCCCATAGAGTGTGAAGAGGCCCAGTGTAGGAGGAGGCCGACCAAAGGAAGGTCGACAGTCATTCGCCTTTTGAGAAACAAAAAAAGAAAGAAATATTTTAATCGAATTTATCGAGTCACAACAATACAGGCATGCTCAAAATTTACAAGCACTTATTTTGTACAACCATTCGTTACAACGCACGTTACGCAAGCTCTGCAGCATGATCAATCACGTACTACGTTTTCGATTGGCAGAGCACCCTCCACCCGAAAACGTGGTCGCCGGTGAGTCAGTACTATCAATGGCTACAGTTGGTATTTTACCCGTTTATTCGCACTTGTAGCCGCGTAAACTTCTCGTGTGCTCTGAACCACATTGGTCCGTTGCGAGGCACTTTGGGTTCGAGTCTGCGGTCAAGCCAAATGGAAGCCAAACAAGTGTAACGCTGTGCGAGCTTGCAGTCCTATGGACGCTTTCGGTCATGTCGATTGGACGGTCTGACTTCAGAGATAACGTCTCGGCTATCCTTCAGGTGCGCTTTGGTGCGGCACAGAAGGTGCTGATACTTTTAAACAAGAGTTCACTGGTCGGCGAACCTGCACGCATGAGTATTGCAACTTCCGTAACACTGCTTCAATCTGAGAAACTTTCATGTGTGTACACTAACGCCCAAGGGCTCCTCGCTAAAATTATCGAACTTCGACTACGTCAGGTTGTGAATGCTTGGGACCTAATTTCTATTACCGAAACTTGGTTACACCAAGAGGTGACTGATGCTGAGGTTGCGATATCCGGAATGACACTCATCCGGAACGACCGCTCCATCAGAGTTGGTGGAGTCATACTCTACTACCGCAGCGATCTACAATGTACAATAGTTGATGATCTGGAAACACAGTTTGCCGACACACTAGTGCCGTCTCCCACTAAGACACAACGACGCATGTCTCATAGCTATCGTTTACCGCCCCCCAACGTCCACTTTAGAAATGGATTCTCGCTTGATCCGTGGCCGGAACAGAGTAACACGCACTAGGTACATCCACATTCTCATCTCCGGGGATTTCATACTACACAATCTGAAGGTTTCGGCATCGCCCAGTCCGCAGTTCAAAGCAGACTTGCAGGAATTGATCGCTAATACTCCTTTGTACAATCATGTCACGACGCCCACTAGATTCAGGACAGCAAACAAACCGTCCATATTGGACCTCGTGCTCACGAACGAAGAGCTCATGGTTGACAAGTTATTGATGGATGGCCCATTAGGTCTCAGTAACCATGTAGTAACAACTTTTGGCTATATGTGTTATGCAGAGTATCCATCTGAACACTCGGAATTAACTCATACAATCACCCACTACCATGTATTGAAAGAACTCGCTGACGTTGCTGCTTGGGAATTCTCAAACAAAAGTCCCCTTGACAACGTTTGGACAGAGTTCGTTAATAGACACAGCGATATCGTCAGAAAAGCATCAGAAACCAAACCCCTTCGTCCCGCGAAAATGCCTTCAATTCTAAGGAGCATGACTCGAAAAGGCCTGGCGACAAGGTGGGCAGCATGGCGTGCTTACAAAATTAACCACCCACTCAGAGACTGGGGGAAATTTCCTGACTCATCGCAACAACTTCACTGCACTTGTCCGTGAGTACAAAGTAACATATCAACAGTGCCTAGCCAAAAAATTCGTGGCAAACAACAAACTGCTATATAGGCACGTCAATAAGCTTGGTAACGTGAAGCATGGAATCCCTCCATTTTTCACGACAGACGATAGATTACAAAGTGCCAAAGAAGCAGCTAATTCCCTGCGGCTACAATGCGCCCCAATTTTCGAACTCGCAACCACTACCTGTCCCATTATATCAAGCACACTGCCGACTCCATTGTTTACAAATGTAATTTTCAACCCATCAATTGTGTTATGGAAGTTACTCTCACTGCGTGAGCATAGTCCTCCGGGAGCAGAGAACCTCCGTCTGAAGGCACTGAAGGATGTGACCTGTAAGCTAGCTGAACCACTGTCACAGTTCTTCCAAAGGTGCGTTGATGAGCAACAAGTCTCCACTATGTGGAAGCGTGGCATTATCACCACTATTTTTAAAGGCAGTAGCCGTTCAGATCCTGCAAACTATCGTCCATTGGCTCTCCTCTCTGTGCTCGCGAAGGTGATGGAAGCAGTCGTCGCTGAGGACTTAATGGACTACCTGGAAAAATGCAACATCTTGGTACCGGAACCGCATGGCTTCCGTCAACACCGGTCAAGCACCGCCAACGAACTGATTGCACGAGGTACTTGAACGGAAGTAGCTGATCATGGGGTCGGAGTTGATGTCATCTACCTGGACGTCTCCAAAGCTTTCGACCGCCTCGATCACCGCACCCTACTTCAACGGCTACAGAGTTACGGAATCGGAAATCCTGTACTTGGTTGGATTGGCAGCTTCCTACATCAACAGAAGCTTCAAGTAGGTGTTGGGGAATCACACTCTAACCCAATTGAGGTGAAATGTGGTGTCCCACAAAGCTCAGTGCTGGGACCGCGCTTATTCACGATGTTTAGCAACGACCTAGCAAGTGTTATCTCCACAAAGTTCCTGCTTTTCGCCGATGACGTCAAGGTATGGCGGGCGACTAGCAACAAACCAGATCACGAT